AAAAAAAAAAAAAAAAGAGTCAGCCCTGCAGGGAATCTCCAGCCTCATACCAGTATTTGTCCTGTGGAGCTGTGAAGGCCCAGATGCCAGACTTATCCTGGCTCATCACTGGAGCTGTCCCAAAGGAAGCCACTGTCCCTGCTGCCCCAGGCATGTGAGAAAATGCCTGGACCTCTGAGAGCTCCTGCCTTGTGTGTCTTCACAAGGACACAGGGGAGCTGTGGCCAGAGCTCCTGCATCTTGATCCACAGCCTGGTGTGTGTGTGTCAGGCCCCCACAGGGTCTTTATCTTGGAAGGTTCTTGCCCTCTCTTCCTCATAGGCTTCTGTCCCCAGAGAGCTTTGTGAGATTGGGTGTTGGTCATCTTCCCACCTCTGCAGACCAACCAGGGGCTCTACACTTCCTAAGTCAGGTAGGTCTGGTCTCATCTAGAAAGACTCCTGCTGGGCTGCAGTTTCCTCTCCCCAGGCCCAGTACTGGGAAACAGGACACTGACCATTCTAGGGCTTGTCTCCCCAGCCCACAAGAGAATTTCCCAGATTTTCCCAGAGCAGATTTTCTCAGATGCTCTGCTCCTGGGTTGAGCCCCAGTCTTCAGGAGTCTGTGTCTGTAGATACCCAGCCCATGCCTTCTTGGTATAGACTAAAACTCTAGAACAGTGGTTTTCAACCTTCCTAGTGCTGCAGCCCTTTAATACAGTTCCTGTGGGTTGCGACCCACAGGTTGAGAACCACTGTTCTAGAAGCACAGCTCGCTGCTTTCCGAGTGGGGTGCATCCCACATGAAATCTTAGCTTTAGGCCCCAGAGGAGCGAAAGGGAGTCAGCATCTCTCAGGCCCATCACAGAAGGAATCTCCCTGTGGCTGCCTCTAACATAGCCCTTTCCATGCTGTATGGAACCGTCTTTGGTTGACATCAACTGCTTACTCAGTAACTGGATCACCAGTGGCCATGCCTGGGCCCATAGTTGGGGCTCCACTGGTGTTGATGAACTGAGTTACCTGACCTGAGGAGGTGACATGTGAGTCATTTGGAAAAGCTGGGCAGGTGGGAGATCCTCTGAGCCATTCTTGGGCACAAGGCGGAGACTACATGACATTAGTGGTTCTCGTGTACAGCATAAGACTTGAGGCCAGACTCAGGGCCTCACCTGCTCCCAGAACAGGTGTCAAGGAGGATCCTTAGACTTCTGCTCTCTGAGCCTCCATTTTCTCACCTTTTAAAGTAGGAGTGTTGGAGAAATTTCTCTGTAGAAACTTAAAACAAAAATATAAACCCCTTGTACCAAAGTCCCAATATATCAGACAGGTGAAGGAGAACTTCTGTGGTTAAGGTGGGTAAGAAAGGAGGTGAACCCTCCACAGAACCCAAGGAAGGGTCTTTGGATCCACTGGTGGATTACCTCTCTGGTACCATCTGGTTGTGACGCTCTTGGTTCGTGCCCCTACATGCCTCTCTGGCCAGAGAGATACTTCGCATTTGTGACAAAGGTTGGGGTGTTGAGTACTGGGCTTCTATTGGATCAATGTCTGCACATTAGAATCACCTGAGAGCTTGAAAAATTACCTGTGCCCAGTGTTCCTTACCTAGACAGTCTGCCCCAGAAATTAAATGGGCTGCAGTGTGGCCTGAGCATTGGAATTTTGAAAATCTGCTCGGGTGATTCTGATGTACAGCCCAGGCCTGAGGACCACGGTATCAGACAGACTCTATCTGCCTCCCAAGACAGAACGAGGGCCAGCAAGAGAAGTAGGTAAATGCAGTCACAAAAGTACTGGCCTGGTTGACAAGACTTGGATCCTAGTCCCGATTCTGCCATTAATTCTTTTGTAACTTAAGACAAATCACCTCCCCTCTCTGAGTCTCCATCTCTTTATCTTGGAAAATGAAAGGGATGTTTCCTTCTAAAGGTACTTCCAGTCTTTACAACCTGATTGTGTTCAATAAAGGAGTGATGGCTGGGAGATGAGACCTGTAACACCAGGTGAAATGGGTCAAGGCCAAAGCCAGATGCCATGCTGACCTGCAGGTGGGGGGTATCAATTCCATGAAAGAAAGGGCTTTCTGATAGCCAGACTGTTTGGGATGGGAGGGGTTGTTGGGGGGACATTGAGTTCTCTGACATCAGGAGAAAATTAAGTGTCCTGTAAAGATGTTACAGCATCTTCTATGTTTGGGGAAGGAACCATTCAGAAACCATGAAAATATTTTTAGATCTATCTGGAACTTGACAGAGGAAAGGGGGGCGACCATAGGAGGTGATGTGGTGATGTGAGTAGAGATGCCTCAAGTGCTCCTTGGAGCTGGTGGCTCTCCTGGGTATTGACCAGACATAGCTTCCTGGGCCCCTGAAGAGGCTGAGCAGCCTCCAGGCCCCCCACCCCCGGCTTTCTCAGCATCATTTCGCGTGTATCCTGCTCCAAGCATCCCAAGGCTTCTGCATGAGGATCAGGGAAGCCCCCAGAGATAGGAAGTTAAGAAGTGCCCAGCCTAGACTTTAGAGGAAAGAAGTCAGGGTGGCTGGGAGGACAGAAGTACTGAGTGGGGTAGACGGCAGGAACTGTCCTGGATCACTGAATGCAACAACTGAGAGAGGGTTTATGCATCTTCTGGCAGCCTCTTCCTTTGAAAGATGAAGGACTCAAGGCCCAGAGAGATGAAGTGACTTATTTAATTCATCTAGTATGTGATAAAACTGATACCAGCTATTAATAATAATAACTAATAGTACCAGCTGATGTGTTACTGAGCATTTTCTATGTGTAGACTCTGCTGTCGGTGCTTTACAGGGATTATTTTATTTGCTCTGTATAATCAGCACATGAGGTCAGCACCATTATCCCCAATTTATAGATGGGGAAACTAAGGCTGGTGGAGTTTAAGTAGCTGGCACACCATCACATAGCTGAAGACAGGCAGTGCCAGGATGCCGATGCAGGGCTGTCTGACTGCAGAGCCTGCATGCATGGCCACTGTTCTTTCAGGAAGCCAGAGAGACCTAGGTTTAAATTCCACCCCTGAAGCGAAACTGTAATTGGAAAGGTCTCTCGTGTGCTGTGTGGAGGCTGGATTGGAGGGGCCAGTGGAGGCCAAGAGCCTTCAGGATCACAAAGCATGCATAGAAAGGGGTCAAGCCCTCCAGCTGCTTGGAGCCCTGGGCTCTGCCCCTCTCTGCCCCCCTCCGGCCCTTCCCCAGCACTGCCCTCAACCCTCTCCCCACTCCCTGGGGTTGTGGGGTGGACCCCAATCCTAGGGGTCCCCAAAGTCTGTTTTTGTTCTTCCTTCCTCAGCTTTGCCTCCAAGAGGGGCTCCTCTCTGACCGACCCCTCTAGTGAACTTCTTTTGTTCTTGTGATACAGCGTTTGGGTTCACATCTGGGATTCTCATACATCCATAAGAGGAGTTTAAGAGAGATTACAGGTGGGACTCTGACCAGGACAGTCACATAGGAGGCATCAACAACTATTCAGGCTTGCCATCTTATCCCTCAGCATTTTTCTGGCCCTTACTGTATCCCACCATTATGACAGATGCTGCATGGTGAACTAGTTAAGTCTCCAGACTTGGGGTCCATACTCTCTGGGTTCAAAACCCAGCTCTGTCACTTACCGGTTGCCTGACTTCAAAATGAGGATGATAATAATGGTTCCTGTCTGTTGGAGTTCAAACAAGAATAATTTGAGTTTATACATGTGAAGTTCTAAGACCAGGGCCTGGCATATTAGCTATTGCTATTAATAAACATAAAAGTCAGGGCATGAGCCTTCTTTCCTCAAATGTGATGTTACCTGCATGATCTTGGGCAAGCCTCTGAGCCTTGGCTCCCCCCTCTGAAAGATGGATTGGCAATACTAGGTGGAGGGAGGACTGACTCCCAGGCAGCCGAGGAGGGAGGGCTCGGGCATCTGCCTGGGCAGTCAGCAGCTTCCTTCTTCCCTGCTTCCCCTCCTGGTGCCTACACTCCCCCCATGCACGTCTTATTCTCACTTCTGGCTCTAGAGGCCTGGAGTGAAGAACCTTCAGATGTCAACTGCTGCTCAAGGGCCTCCCTCCCATTTCTTACTTGTTCCTCCCTTGGGACCATGCAGTGTGCTTGCTCAGGGCCCTGTGACTCAGAGGACTCCCTGAACTGTGGAGTGCCTTCCTCAAAATTTTCTATGGCTGCTCTGATGCCTGAGGGAAGCAGGGCTCAGAGGTGCCACCTGGAGAGATACCCCAAAGCCTTATTTCTCCCCTTCTTGGTGTCCTCTGACCCTCTATCCTACACCTGGGGCCTTCCAGGTGACCTGAGGAGTTCTAGGACTCCTACCTGTGTGAGGAGTCATCCTGGGGTCCTGTGGTTTGGGCCGGGTTCCAGAAGGGCAGCTTAGTGAGTGGATTATTTTCACTGGCTGGCATGTTACTTCTTTGTGGGGTTATGTGGGATTGGGTCATCAAAATACAGACAGTCTCTGGGTTACAAATGAGATTGGTTCTAGGCTCCACGCCACTGTAGCTCAAGCAGCTAAGGCGCTAGCCACATATACCTGAGCTGGCAGATTTGAATCCAGCCTGGGCCTACCAAACAACAATGACAACTACAACCAAAAAATAGCCAGGCATTGTGGCGGGCGCCTGTAGTCCCAACTACGTGGGAGGCTGAGGCAAGAGAATCACTTAAGCCCAGGAGTTGGAGGTTGCTGTGAGCTGTGATGCCATGGTACTCTACCCAAGGCAACAGCTTGAGGCTCTGTCTCAAAAAAAAGTATGAGATTGGTTCTAGAGGTTTGTTCTTGAGTTGAATTTGTGTGTAAGTTGGAACAGGTACATTTAATTACCTGTAGCCCCCTTTTGTAAGTGTGATTGTATGTCTGTTGGATACTTGTAACTTGGGGACTATAAGTAGTGCTGATGTACCCATCTTGGGTGCTTCAACTTTTTTTTTTTTTTTTTTTTATAGAGAAAGACTCCACAAAAGCATATTTACCATAGGGGCAGCTTCACCCTCATCCATATCCTCCCCCTCCACAAAGGAACCTTCAGTCTCTCTGCTGAGTAGACATGGAAACTGAGGCCTAGGGGGAAAATCCACATTTCTTCATATCTTTCCTGGTCAAACTTCAACAGAGTCCCAAGTACTCTGATTCTGGCCCTCATTGCTTCCCAGGGCAAGAGGGCGGAGTCTGGCGTGGGCAAGGGGTTCAGAAGAGGTGCTTGCCCCCTCCAGCTCCACCTTCCATGTGGGTCCTCAAAGCCCTTTCTCTTCCCCTTATAGGATGCTGCAGAACAACCAGCTGGGAGGAATCCCCGCAGAGGCGCTGTGGGAGCTGCCAAGCCTGCAGTCTCTGTGAGTCATTAGAGGGCCGGTCTTGGGAGTCACCAGCTTCCTGGGGCTTGAGTCACAGCCCAGGGCCCCTGCCTCGGCTTTCCCTCCTCTCTGCAGGCCCGCCGTCCCACTCCACGTTCCAGACAGCGTGCCACTCCTGGCTTTGGTTTCTTCAGGGTTTTTGTTGTCGTCAGTGTGTGTATGTGTACAGTCGTATTTCGGGGAAGCATGGCTCCAAGGCCCCACTGGAGGACTGTGGGAATGGGACCTCCCTAGGTGCGGCCACCAGGGCAGCCATCCTGGGGCAACTGGCATTCTGCCATTGGAGCCTGGAGCGGGGGGTGGAGACTGCCGCCCCAGAGAAGTGTCAGGAAGGGGCTGTCTCTTCCACCTAGCCTGCTTTCCCCAGGGGCTTTGCTGTGGGAGGGAAGGAGGCTAGTCTCAGACACTCATTTCTCCTACGTGGGGGTGGGATTGCCTTTGGGACTCATGGCCACCCATGACAGATCCACCCCTCCAAGGAGCCCTGTAGTTCCTTTGTTGTCCAGCAGGGGCCTTGTGGATGCAAGACCAAGCCTGAGTGGAAGTGAGAGCAGGTGCTCTGGGGTGATGTAACCCAGCCCACTGCGATCCTCTGGGCCAGGTGCTGTGTTTCATTCATGCAGTGCACAGCACAGGGGCTGGAACATAGTAGGTGCCTCATACATGCTTGCCGAACCCAACTGAATTTTCAGGCATATCTACATCTGGTGGGAGAGTGAATAGCTATCTTGAGAGAAGTCAGAGTTAGGGGATGGGACTGAAGTATGGCATTTAGCTAGTGTGGGAAACTGGGGCATAATGGGCATGCTGGGTGTCAGGACAAAGGGCTCTGGTATCCTTGGCCTTTGGCCCTTCCCAGTCCATGGATGTGGAAGTCAGACAGAGAAGTCTAAACTGTCCTGACTCTCCTTGGGTGGAAGGGGGAAGGAGATGGAAAAGATAGCCTTCCTCCCCCTCACTGTTAGGCCCTATTCCACCATACACAGGGGCCAGCTGTAGGGACCCTGGCTAGCTAGTTGGGTCACACCCACTCCTGGTTAGGGCTTTCCTTCCCTGCTCCCATGTCTGTACCCAATGCACCCAACTGCCTGATCAGCCCTCAGCCTCCAACCTTTCTGCCTCCATCCAGTCAGCCCTGGGCTTCTGGCCCCAGACCCCTTCACTCTTTCCATCCAGCCTCACCACTGGACAGGGCCAGGCAACCCTGTGTGCCCCTAGAGGCCAAGGTCAGAAGATCAAAGGCCAGGAAAGCCTGCACTGCTCCCTACTCACAGGGGCAGACTAAACATTTGCTTAGGGCACTGGCAAAGTGGGGCAGCCAAAATTAAGGGAGGAGGAGTAAGGAGAATTTGACATTTCACCCCAGCATCAAAGAGCACTTCATAGGGAGAAAAAAATGGACTTTCCCTGGACTTCTTCACACTTTGAGGTTAAATTTTATTTTATGTTTTAAGTTGTGAACCATCTTTTGAGTTCTTTAAGGCATCTAAAGATCTTGTTTTCAGATTAGGAGTGGAGTTTTTGGGTGATACAGGTAGGTTTCCCCTACACTTTCTTGGAGGTGAGCAGCCCCTGTGGCTGGGAAAACTAAATAATTAACTTCCACCCCCCCCACCCCATTATACTCCACTGTTTGGGCAGAGCAGGACAGAGAACAGAAGCCCATGTCTCCCCTGCCCCAGTTATAAGGCAAGTCAGTAGATTTTGCTTCCTGAAATCCTGTGAGAAGAGCACTGACCTGAGACTGAAAATGTGGCTTCAAGTCCCAGTTGTGCACCTGATTACTGTGTCACTTAGCCTCTCTGCCCCTCAGTTTCTCCATCTTCCTTGCTTACCTCATAGGGTTGTTGGGAAGATCCAATATATAGTAAATGTGAGAGAGATTTGCAAAAAGAAGACCCCACATAGCTGTGATGCATGGTGATACTATTGTGATATCGTTTATCTAACAAGTCATCAATCAAAGCATTTTACGAATTATTTTTGAGACTTTGCTGGGAGGGTGCAGAACCTGAGTTGAGTCGTGAAAGATCTAGATCAGTCAGGTAAAAGAGGCAGGGAAGGACATTGCTGGTAGAGGGAACAGCACATGCAAAGGTATAAAGATAAGCGGGAACCGAGTGAATTTGAGAGTGAATTCTGGAGACTTTCCAAGGAGGCAAGTTTGGCTGAACTGTGTGTATGTTGGTAAGGGCAGTGATGGCAAAAAATCTCAAATTAGAAGTGATCATGTCTGAAAAATAGGCACGGACCTTGCTAAGGATTTGAACTTTATTCTTAAAACAGTGAGGACCCAAAAAAGGACTTAGAGCTGGAGAGGAATGTGATAGGGTTTGTATCTTTGAAAAATCACACTGGCAGCAGTTAAGAGCCTATTAAGAACATGTTGAGTGAGTAGTAAATGCATAGTGAACCCTAAGTGTGAGCACTCTAGGGAGAGGTGCAGGCAGAAGCATTATATTGAGGGCCCTCTGGAACATGTTGAGCTGAGGTGCCTACAGGTAGGGTGGGTCAAGCATCCTGGAGAAACTGGAAGGCTGGCCACTCTACCGTGTGTGTGTGTGTGTGTGTGTGTGTGTGTGTGTATGTGTGCGCGTGCGTGTGTGTTGCAGGGAAGATACCAGGGTCCGTAACCCAACTCACTGATTCTGTGTGTAGGTGTCATGTTCTGAGCTTTTGGAAGTTGGGAGATTCAGAGTGAGCCCACCTCAGACCCCAGGGTGATGTGCTGCCCTACCCCAAGGGGGGTGCTGTCCTGCCTCTTAGAGCCAATGAAACCAAGCCCACACTGCTAAGTTGAAAGGAGAGGGTGAGAGTAAATGACAGTTTTGAGCACCCTGTGTGCCATGCCAGCACCACATGAGATGTGTATCCACCACTTGATTCTTCCTCACTAAAACTCCTCTTTACTGGCTTGGTGCCTATGGCTCAAGTGGCTAAGGCACCAGCCACATACACCCAAGGTGGCGGGTTCGAATCCAGCCCGGACCCTCCAAACAACAATGATGGCTGCAACCAAAAAGAAAATAGCCGGGCGCTGTGGTGGGCACCTGTGGTCCCAGCTACTTGGGAGGCTGAGGCAGGAGACTCGCTCAAGCCCAGGAGTTCGAGATTGCTGTGAGTTGTGATGCCACGGCCCTCTACCCAGGGCGACAGCTTGAGGCTCTGTCTCAAAAAAAAAAAAAAGTTGTCAGATGAAGTAATAGAGGCAGACAAGTTCAGGGGCTCTTCCAAAGTCAGAGTGGAGAAGTCAGACGTCCTGCCCAGTTGTTGGGCACCAAAGGCTGCAAGAGAAACTACTTTTTGATGGCCATCATTAGATGACCTTCCCTGCTTCCCCAGGAGTACCAGCAAATAAAAATGTCCTTCCAGTTGAAAGTCGGTGGATCAGTGAGGTATATAGAGGAGATATTTTCTGTCTGTGCTTCTCCTGGGGTGTTATGTCCTCCCCAGAGTAGGAGGAGGGCCAGGGCTCAAGTCACTAGAGAAAAATCTTCCTCATCTCCACAAGGGAAGGTCCCTACACAAACTCTTGGGGACCTTCCTGGGCCCTCTGAGAACGTTCAGTCCTGTAGTCTACTTTCTACCAGATAGAACCAGAGAGAACAGTCAGAGGAGGACTTGGGTGAATTGGGAACGGTTCTAGGGGTGCCAGCCGGGCCATCCATGTCCTAGGTACCCAGTTGGATGTGGCTCAAAAGCTGTTTGGCTTGGCACTTGGGTTGGCGGCACCCAGCTCCACAACACCCCCCCTCTGGATATACTTGCTTCCTCCCGGACCAGTGTGGGAGGGGGGAGGGTGGCCATGCCAGACATGTCACGCCAGGCTTGAGCCAAGGCCAAGAGAAACCACGGGAAGCCAGTGGAGCCTGGGGGAAAATAGAAACTGGGTGGGGGTGAGGCAGGGCAAGGGGGAGAGTGCATGGCCTGGCAGAACAACAGCTTGGGGGAGTGGGGACTTTGCTAGATTGGGGGGCCTGGGAGCTCTGGCGCTGGTCCTGGGAGGAGAGGAGGGAAATCACAGCGGCAGGAATAAAGAGGAAAAACAGAAAAACAGCCCAATCTTAGACACCCTAGGCAGGAAGTGCATAATCGCAAAGGACAGCCACATGAAACTGTCCAGCACTATGCAGAGCTGGGGAAATTAATCAAGAGCAGTTGGGCTGCGCCTGTGGCTCAGTGGGTAGGACGCCGGCCCCATATACAAAGGATGGAGGTTCAAACCCGGCCCTGGCCAAAACTGAAAACAATAAAAAGCTGGGTGTTGTGGCAAGTGCCTGTAGTCCCATCTACTCCGGAGGCTAAGGCAAGAGAATCGCCTAAGCCCAAGAGCTGGAGGTTGTTGTGAGCTGTGGTGCCATGGCACTCTACCGAGGGCAACAGAGTGAGACTCTGTCTCTAAAAAAAAAAATCATGAGCAGCACCAGACTCCAAACTGAACCCAAGTTAGAACCACTGCAACCTTCTCCAGCCAATCCCAAACCACTGGCTGCCTGCTGCTGAAGGGAAGGGGGTGGAGAAGCTGAGAGGGATGGACCTGTATCTGGGGGCACTTGTGGGCCTGGGAAGGCAATGGGCTTGGGTGGTGTGGGAAGCGGGGAGTGGCTCTCACTTAGCACAGTTCAATATGCTAAGCATGTTTATAGATCTCATTTAATCCTGAAAGCCCTAGAAGGTAGGGTCTATTATTCCTATTTTATAGATGAAGCAACTAAAGTCTAGAGAAGTCAAGCAACTTGCCTGAGGTCACACAGCTAGAATATAGCACAGCTGGAATTTTACTTTAGCTCTAATTCCAAAGCACCGGGTTCTTAACCTCTAACTTTCAGTACCTCCCCTAAGTTAATGATACTTAGGATCCAGAGACTTAGGTTCAAATCCTGGCTCTGTCAGTAACTGGCCACAAGGCCATGGGCAAGTCACTGCCATCTCTGAGCCTAAGGTGTACCATCTCTAAAATTGGGAGGATCAAATGGGAT